TAAGATGGTGTTGCAGAGAACAAAAAAGAGGCAAATCTGATGGTGCCATATCTGGAGAATATGGTGGGTGGGGGAGAACTTCCCAACTCAACTCCATAGTCTTGTGTTGCATCAAACGTGCCACATGTTGACGTGCACTGCTGTTCGAAATGAATTACTCTGTTATGTCCTACCAAATGCAAAGCATCACTTTCTGCAGATGGAGTTCAGGTTTTGGTGTCGAAAGTGGTTTTTGTCAAGGACTGAACCATTGTTTTTACCTTTAATATTCGCATAGAGAATCTATTTTTCATCACTGGTGACAATTCTGTCCAAAAATGGTTCACGCGCATTACGCACCAGAAGAAACAAAGCAACATTCACACGTCGGAAACAATGATCATCAGAGAGTTTGTGAGTTTATGAAGTTTCCCATATTCCTTAGATGTTTACACATTGTTTCATGAGAGACATGCAATTTCAGGGCCATTTCACGAGTGTGTTACCTTGGGTTAGACTGACAAGCACCTTCAGGGCATCAATATCAATCCAACGTGTCGGCTCCTGCTATCACAGTTTTTAAGGCTAAAGTCACCTGAATGAAATTTGCTGAACCATCTTTGACACTTACGAATGGTCAAAACATTTCCATAAACTTCTTTGATATTCTTTGTAGCTACAGAGGGGTTGTTTCCCTTCTTGTATTCAAACAGCATTACATGCCAAATGTGTGTCTCGTCACGTGCCATCACTATAAGGGATTAGAGTATACTAAACTTTACACATTATATAGGCTACACTAATGTGATGTTTAGGCGGTTCGTTTAACTATTATACCTGATGTACGGTTTTTTTGGGGGGGGTTAATGAAAATGTTCCAAAATGCGACATTAATTTCTTTACAACCTAATACATTATAAGGTATATAATGCATACTTCTTTACAACCTAATACATTATAAGGTATATAATGGTTATAATGCCACCTATGACCTTGCATTAATAAAATTACTAACTCATAGGTAACAATGTCTGAAATACAGACACTTCAAATACATGGCATGATAAAACACAAATTTGAAATTTTTTGGTAAATTTATGATTTATAGCACAATAAAAACTGCTGCATAACAGAGCTGTTACTCATGACCCAAGTAACTATTGACCTGAAAGAGTTTTTATGCATATATTATATTACGCCTAATGACAATATGCAGTAGGCCACTTTGTTAACAGAAATGATGCAATAAAAAACCATCTAAAGTATTAAAACTTGTATAAATAATGCTATGATTTATAGCACAATACAAACTGCTGCATAACAGAGCTGTTACTCATGACCCAAGTAACTACTGACCTGAAATGGTTTTTATGCATATATTATATTATGCCTAATGATAATATGCAGTAGGCCACTTTGTTAACAGAAATGATGCAATAAAAAACCATCTAAAGTATTAAAACTTGTATAAATATAGTATTTAGCTCACTATATTTTATACATAAAACTCATCTCTGTCCTCCTTTTACTAATTTATGTATGTGTTTAAAAGACATGAAACCTTTATTTTTGCCGGAAGTTAAAATACCCTGCTGCCATTCACCATGGTTTCAAGTTACAAAACTCATGAGTTCTTGTATACAGAAAATAACTACCACAGCAATTACTTCAATAAAATAAAGTTAATTTCTTCTTATTCAGTGGCATTCAAATGATAGAAAACCAATATTAACTTACAAGACAATAGGACCACTTAGCATTGAGGCACTTGAAATGTAGTAAGAAAATTTTCAACTTTACAATCTAGTGTAACTACACAGAAAAGAAAGAGAGCTCTGTGGCAAATAGACTGTGAGAAAGAAAATTATCCAATGTTTCAGATGGTATATTTATAATTCTGTCAGCTTCAAAAACTTGAATATTATAGAGCAAAACATGCAGATAATTGAATTTTAGTTCTTGACCTCGTCAACTTAAACCATGCACTATTTTCAAACTATCTAAACTAAAAATATGTTCAAACAAGTGCAAAATTTGTGGCTCATTTTTGTTCACTGACAAATTGTATCTTTGCAAGTGGAATATTTAACGAGTTCCATCATCTCAATAGTAATTACAACAGGGGGAAAAAATAAAAAAATTAGGGCTAGCAGTTTCAATTTTTTTTAGCTACTTCATTCAAAACAAATATTAACATTTCAGTTATAATTTTACTTTGGAGGTAGTTTGAAGAGATAGATCATAATTGTTTAAAATTTAATATCAGGATTTTGCTCCTGTGAAAACTGAAATACTGGGCAGAAAAGGGTTGAATAAAAATAATGATAAGTCTGTTTTTAAAAGCAAATTTAATGAGAAATATTTTGATGCATAAAAGCACAACTATTTCGATGAAATAAATAATACCACTACAAAGTTCAATACCTAAAAACTAACTTAACTTTTAATAGTTACCAAGTTTTTCAAAATACCTACCCCTTGGTAAATCTTTGGACAAGCTCTTTGCATAGTAAACTGTTTGTTCCCTTGAAGTATATGCATTTAGATGTGCTCCCATGTTTTCAATTTCTAGTTCTAGGTCAGTCTGTGATCGTTTACTTGTTCCCTAAAACAAAAATATACAAGTTAGCTGTTTGAAATCTAACTACAGGTAGGAAAGAATTAACTAGCACGAGTTACAGAAAAATTAACACATGGCTCAATAAAACAGAATTTCTTACTCAATACTCTGATTTTCCTAAACTTCATTGGTTGGTTGAAAATTTTTCAAGTTATGTAGATGTAAAACTTGTGCCTTTGCCAAGTCATGATGATTTACATACTATAATAGAACTATTACTATACCGATGAAAAAAAAAATACTATTAATACATTTTTTGACTTCAATTCACATTTGAATAAAAATACATACTGAAAGTCAAGATGTAAATTGTATTAGTTCTAGAACTTATTTCACAAGTGATGTACAACAAACTTCTTGGAACTAAATTACAAAATAAGTAACACTGCATTGTCTTGAATTCTTATTTTCAGTCACATTTAATCAAAAATCAATAAAAAAATTTAAAAACAAAATATTATCACTAATGAAAATATATTCAATGTACCCATGCACTTTAAAAAATACCAAGAACAAGTGTTTCAAATAAAGTTATTACACATGTTTAAATTAAAAACTTGCCACAGTAAAGATTTTGATCTCACATCTATAATTGAAAACAGGCCATTCCATCAACAGAAACACTAAGTCTTTTGTGTGTTCTGTAGTGACACCCTCACTGTCTGGAAAGGGTTAAGATGCATCTCACATTGTTATGCATCCATTAACATTTTTATGAGTCCCATGAATGCTTTTTTACCATCCAATTGATTTATTTTGCATCAAGGACACAAATTTATTGTGTTAACATGATAATTGTTTATAAAGAAGTGAAAGATAATACAATACTCTTCTTTGAAAAAATATTTACTCCATTCTTATGAGTGCCAATCATTATATCCTACATGGCATAAAAGCACATTTACTTAGAAAAAGAACTGAATAATATACAGTCAATATGAAAGCTTTAAAATCAACTCCTAATACAAAGAATTTACTCACTTTGAAGGACATATGCTCTAGAAAATGTGCCACTCCATTGTTCTTGTCAGTTTCATAGCGGCTGCCAGTATCTATCCACAGACCCACTGTGCATGTAGGAATACCTGAATCTTCTGTGGCTACTCTTAATCCATTTGTAAGGGTTGTTACTCTTGTCTCTGGAACATTGAGTAATGTTTGGGCAAAAGCTGGTCTAGCTGTATGCTGAAACCGAACCTACAGTGTGCAGAGGCAAGATTTTATCATAAACTGTTAATAACAAAAAAATGTGCATACTTAAAATCATGCAATCTACTACATTTAAGTAAATTGCTTTTCACATAAAGAATAAATTTTGAGTACTTGACACTTGACAGTGTTTTTCATGTTTCACTTAACCTGCAAGTTTTGTAAACATGTGACCTGAGAATGGTTTTCACATTTCACTATGCTCCAGCTTCACTGTTAGTTTTGTGTACTTGCAAGTTACGGATGTTATACATTTCACTTTTAACTTGTAATAATAAATGGTTCTCAGTGATTGAAACCATTTTTCCAATTAAAAAATTGGCAGGTAAAGTTTAACATATTCATCAACTGCAATAGCTCAAACACTTGTATTAAACATTTATACTAAAACAAGTTATCACTAGAAAAACTATTTGTTTCATATAAAAGACAATGGTTGTGCTGACCTTTACAATTTTTTTAAACACCTGCCTTCTAAAAATCTACATTTTGAACTATAATATCTACTTTTTTTTACATACCGTATCAAAAATGTTTACTTTTCAATGTAACATTATTCAAGATTAAGTTAACATGCAAACAGTAATGCATCAACTACTTGTGCCTACTGCTTAACATCCAAAAACCAAACCAAATATGTATTTAACCAAAGTAAAAATGTATTATTTTGGATATCCTTCAAATTAACTAAATTTAAAGTCAAACAACAAAAAACTAAATTAACATGGATCTTTTTTGTAAAATAAAAATACTGATGATGATTATAACTTATTTTACAAAGTTTGAAAACCATTAGGGAATGAAAAAGAGGACAATTTGTTTGCTTATAGCAAAGCTACTAAGGTTATCTCTCATCACTAATTTTGAAATACTGGAAAGCAACCAGTCAGCAGCAACCAATGCTAGCTCTTCGGCTACTCTTTACCAATGAATAGTGGGATTAACCAACTCATTATAATATGCCCATGGCTGAAAGGATAAGCATATTCAGCCACAGGTTTCTCTCATGTAACCCACAGATAAGAATTTGAATGCCTTAACCACCAGACCATGCCACATCAAAACTAGAATGTCTATACAGATCATAATAGTATTATTGTTTTAACCATACAAATACATGAAGATCAAAGTGCACCTGCCACAATCTTTTTTACTAAGATACATTTAAAACTTAATAAAAACAACTATTACCAATGATGTCAATAAACTTAGCATCAAACCAGTTTATAATTCATATTTTTTTATATTATCTAAGTTTTAATTTATTTTTTAAAGGATATATTTAAATTCTCAATCTTCACTTCTCTGTGTCACATGATGCATTTATGTTCTGATTGTCAATTTTAGATTTTCTATCCTTATATGATTTTCTAATTGTCCAACTAATTAGAAACACATACTGATAGATACTGACAAGCCAGAATGCATATTTATAACCCTCTCCTTTTTGCTTTACTGACACGCCCTTCCACGTCATTCGGTCTTTCAAAAAATGTCAATAATTCTCTCTCTCTGAGAAGGAAAAGCTCTTTTTTTTGTACAAGATTGTTCATATGGTTATTCTATTTTACTGCCCTTAAGTATACATTTAGATTTGGTTTCATTGTTCCTGATCATGTTTTCCTGTTCCAAGCAGATAGAGGAGTTTTAATCTATTTATAGTTTAGTTAGAAAACCAGTTAAATTATAGTAGTTTGGGACTTCTATTCTGGTGCCAGATGTATATTTTGTGTTCTAAAATATATATTTGAAGGGAAAATTAATGATTTTGTAAAGAACCAGTATAGTATAAAAAACTAGTGCTAAGGAAGCATTTGATAGGGTCTAAAGATCATCTTCAGGTGATCAAATTAAAATCATGCAGATGTAAAAAGGTTAGATAGTTAAGGATGATTTGACAAATAATTGTAAATGTCTGTTACAATCTAAAGCCTTTCTAGAAAAAATTGCATTAGTGATGATTTCACTACAGTTAGGGTAAACAAAAGAGATAAACTATAAAATGTTACTAGAAAAAACTGATATTCATTTAGGACATTCTCTAGAAGTTATAAAAATGAAATTTGAAACCTATAAAATGAAAAGAAATATTTATATTTTTAGCATGAAAATCATCCCTCACTCGGATTGACTCACTAAAATCTTCATGAATTCACAGACAAATCTTTAGTAAAAATACTTTATTAAAACAAAATATGATTTTTGTGTACAACAGACTTGTATGCCAAATTATGTGAAGATACGCTCAGTACATTCAAAGTTATAGTATAGTTTCATGGTGGTTACAAAAATTAACAAGCCCATATACAGGGTTAACAGTATTATTTAACATTTCCAAAGTAAACCCCTAGTATTCTGAATATTCCAGTTGCCTAAAATTAAAATCCAACATCATCAAAATTAGAATTATTTCAATTTATTTAGTAAAATAAAATTTGATGAAAATTTGAAAATCATTAGGGAATGAATAACAAAAAACTAGAAAATTTGTTTATGACAAAGTTACTAAGTTTAACTGCCATTCCTAATTCTGAAATGCCAACCACAGGGAAGACAAAAACCCACCACAAACTTTAGGCTACTCTTTACTAATGAATAGTAGAGTTGAGTGTCACATTATAACACCCCCACAGCTGAAAAAGCAAGCCTATTCTGCATTGAGTTTTGATCCTGCTACCAGAAGAATGCAAATCAAGCACCCAAACTACCAGCCTATGCCTGGCCAAAACTAGTAGTATGTTCAAATAATATAGTATTATTATATTAACAACACTGTTTATCTCCTCCATGCTAGCTGCTGCAGTGTTTTATTTTTAAGATGGATGTATGATACACATTAACTTTTTAACATTTAACTGTGTAACATTAAAACCAAATTTTCAATATTTTTTACACAAAGAAAAATACTTATACTACAATAAATAATATTCTGTATTAATTAATGCCAAACAAATAGTCCTAAAGTAACCTATATAAAAGTCAAACTAAGTTAAAATAACATTAATATATTCTGTAATATAAAAGTTTTAATTATAGCTTTATCTTACTCAGTTGGAATAAGTTAAGTAAACTGAGTCTAGTCATAAAAAATTAATTTTATTATGGTGACAACTCTTTAACTTCTCAACTAGGGTAGCATGGCTTAATGAAAGGTTGATTTACTCTTTGTTATTAAAATCTTAGGACTTTTGGATATATGCATCCAGGGCATATTTAAGAGGATGCTTGGGGTGGTGGAACATTTTTCATGTTGCATTACATAAAAAAACTTGGTAAATTGAACCAGTGCCATTTAACATTTTACAAAAATTTCCTGTGTATATAACACAAAATTCTGCAAAAATGAAACTATTCAATGAAATTCAAATTTCATAAAACTTTTTAGCCTTCAGTTGTAGTGTACAGAGTATTTTTTGTATCATCTTAAAATGCACTATTAGTAACATGAGGTGACAGCAGGTCACTCAGTATACTAGTCAACCGTATTCTTCAAAGATCAATCCAAATAAATACAACTTTTAACATCACTTCTTTAGAAACGAGCTTTTATATTTTCTTGTAATATTAAGTAAAATGTTCATAGTTCTATTATTAAAGCTGGATGATGATTGGAATTTGATAATTAATTAATCATTGTGCTCTAATCAATTATATTCAATTACTTGATTATTCTCACATGAGACTTGGATAGATGAGATGATAAAAATTAGTAATAAGCAAAAATACTTAACTCCAATTAGTTGATTATTTAAACAAGTTGTTACAATAACTGAATAAGCTGAATATCCTTGAATTAATCAAAAATCATAATGGCAATATTTCAATTATTGAATAGTTTGAATAATCATAAATAGTAATAAACACCTAATTTTGATTAGTTGATTGATACTGTGACATCAGTCAATTTAATCATAATTTAAAATAATTAATTATTTTGTGTGACACTAATTATGTAATCAAAGCACATAGGTAAGACTACATCATTTAGTCAGGTTAATCACCCAACTCTGACATTTACATGTGGCTCTACTCGTAATAACTCTAAAACAAGTTGAATATTTGTTCATTCAAAGCTAGAGATTTGGTGAAAAGAGAAAAAGAATTTACAATATAAAAATGCAGGACATTCAAGCCCATAATAAATATGCAATATTAGCATATCTATAGTGTGTACTAAGATAAAGTTGATAAGTGGTTTGGTTTTTATTAAATAACCATTAACGAGTCACTGCAGTATATGTCCTACTTAGGGCACACTCATTAGTGCCGTAATTTGACCTTGAATTAATTTTCTGAGTTTTCCTTTGTTCAGACTAATTTATCACATCCCATCAAAGTTTGGACTCATTTTCAGGAGCATTCAGTCATGTTTGTAGAACTTATCAAAAACATAAAACATTTATTCTTTATTTTTACAATATACAAATTAGCCAGTGGTAATGTTACACAGCATATGCCAGAATACGTCTTTGTACCTATTTCAATATATTTTCATACAAAAATCATAGTATGAAGATGTTTTTTTTCTGATAAAAAAAAAAAAAGACCAAACCTAGATAACACTAGTCTATATATATATATACTATAGGGTATATGCTACCTTAGACTTAAGCCTACATAACTTATCTACCTATTTCAGTATCGTAATAGTACTAACACTTTTTAAGTACTATAAATTACAATGTTAGTATTAAATATTTATTTGTTAGTACAATAACAAGCCCATCACTTCATACTCGTAGGTACCTTTGCTCGACCTCCATTTTCAATCAATGCCTGTATCAATTACCAGAAACTACGCTATTGCATAGGCCTAACTAATTATATTCCAATTTCCATATCCTATGCTACACATTTATGGGTATAAATATACTAAACTCATTGTTTGTATAAAAGTTTCTTACATATTTTGTTCCAGGTTTCGCAAATCTGAGCAAGGTTCCGGAGACCTTCAATACCCTTGTCGCCATTTTCATACACACCGTAGAGAGCGTTGTTATCGTTAAAATAAACTATGTGCTTCGCAATGAACAATTTAAAGGTGGAGTATCGTCCTCGTAAAATATTATCTAACACATCCTCAAATATGTAACGAGATGATCACGTCCAACAGGGACAAATTCTTTGTTTGTTTTGTTGTTAATCGCAAACTCACACAATGGATTACCTGCACTGTGCACACCACTGGTATCGAAACCTGCTTTTTAGCTTTATAAGTTTTCAGACATACCGCTGAGCTATTGAGAGGTGGAACAAATGCATTAAATATTATTGAATGGTCATTTGGAAAGCCATTTAACAAAGTTTAAAATTTTCTTGGATAGTCAGCATGGTTTCACTAAGGTAAATTCCTGCCTTACTAATCATGAAGAGACTCCAAAACCAGAATAAACCAAGCAAGAACCATATATGAAAGAAACGAGGCGGAAGAACATTACCCAAAACTGGATAAATGATTGAAAAAAGAGTCGCAGAAAGAACAAAGATGCTATATAGAAGCTATGAGTATAGATGCCCAAGAAGCAGCAGATCGGAAGACTCCAACTCTCTACAAAATCGTGAAAGAGTTGAGAAATTCAAGAAACAGCGGACGAAAAGCAAAACACATATTGGGCTGAACATATTAAGGAACTCCTAAACCAGCCAAGTCCACAAGTCACATTCGATTTTGACCCTTAAGACAACTCTTTACAATTCGACATAAACATGAATGATATATTCAAATAAGGACACCCTCGCCAACT